AGATCATGCTCTGAGCTGAGATCAAGAGTGGACACTTAACTGACAGCCGCTCAGGTGCCCCAATGTCAATTCTTATTATGTACTTTTATTATGTACTTACTTGGGTTAATACATCAGCCTTATAGTTAAAGGAATACATTTAATATAAACAACTACATACATATATATGCATATAAATGACTACATCAATCTTGATATCTAGGAGTAATTACACTGACCTTCAAAATTTAAAAATGCTGAGGTAAATTACTCTCAATTCTCTCCTTCCCACCTCTCCACCCCCAATGAGATTTCCTCTATTTTTTATACATACCAAGGACAGTGATGATCCATCTTAAGAATACATCTAAAAAACAAATAAGCATAAGAAAATCCTTATAAACTTTCCCCTAATTCTAATTGCTCATAATTTTCTTCTTTTTGGCTTAAATTTTTACCTTTACAAGTAACATCTTAGAAGAACCAACCCAGTGAACATTAGGTTCGAAAATATTTCTGATATTTCGCCAAGTACTTTTACAGGTAAGAAACAATGATTTTTAATACTGGGAATTCAGTTGTGCACAGTCAACTGCTTTGAACCACATCAAATGATATTTTAATATACTGATATGGTACACGTAACACTAGGTCACTTAGACAGGCCCAGCTTACAAATTAGCTGAGGGAGATAAAATGAAACACAGAAATCCCTAGGCTGTTTTAACCACATGCAAGACATAAAAATAAAACCATAGGAGCAAATATGTTAAAATATTACCAACGATGGGCTTGTAGATGGTTATTTTTTCCACACAACTCACAAAATTGGATTCCATAGATGAGCACGACTATGCTTTTATAATTAAAAAAACCCCTCCAAATCTGCCTCCCCGCCAATACACATAATCCAGATTTGTATGAAGTCAGACCAGAGAACATCTCAAATACAGCCGTCTCCCCTATCTAGAGTTGCTTCTCCTCGTCTCAGCTCCCAGCAGTCACCCACGGTCTGGAAGCAGATGATCCTCCCTCTGACGCACCCAGAAGGTCAGCGGCAGCCAGACGCTGCGTCACAGGGTCTATGTCACCCACCTCCCTTCATCTCTTCCCAGTTGGGGTAGGTACACGGTAAGACATTTTTAGAGAGTCCACATTCACATACACTTATTACAGCCTATTGTCATAACTATTGTTTTATTATTAGCTACTGTTGTTAATTTCTTACCATGCATAATTTAGGAGTTAAATTTTTTCATATAGTTATGTATGTATAGGAGAAAACATAGTATATATAGTTTCAGGCATTCACTGGGGATCTTGGGACATATCCTCAGACAGATAAGAGGGGACTGCTGTAACATAAGAAATGAATAAACTAATACCCAGAATGTTAAACAACCTAACTACAGTTCAAGGACTAGCAGAGATTCCTAAACTATAGATCTTTCCTTCAACACACTATCTTCTCAAAAGTGCACATAAAATAAAATCTTTCAAATTTTTCTGGGAATGATGTCACAGACAGTAACTGAAAACAGTATGTTTGTGGTTTGTTATGTTTTAATATTAACAAGATAAACAAGAATATTGTCATGATAGTCTTTTTAATCCGCGAGCTAAAGTTATCTTTCTCAAAGGGGTTATTACTTGCTCATCAATGTTACATTAGGCGTAAGCATAGGAAGTACATTTAAAAAACATTCTATCAACTAGTATAGGAAGCGAGATTACTTCAAAGTATATTCTAGCTTATATAAATATTTTTGTTAGCCCAGCATACATAGCAAGTAATTGGAGAGGATGAAGCGTTTTTGCTAGGCATAAAGCATACAAAATATTCCATCCCCTACTATTCTCCCTTCACCAATGTGCAGTGCTAGGGTTAAATGAAAACAAATGAGTCATACTTACATGTCACATGCTGAGCAGTGATGTGCCCGGTCAGGTTTAATCAACTGACATCTTTCACAATATCTGATGGCTACATTTAAGAATTAAAAGGAAACTGTTGAAGGATGTACAAGCTGAATTTGACTATAACATTTGCTTTCATTCTTTTACAAATAACTGTGAAACTGGCAACTAATTTAAAAAAAATTTAATGTTTACTTATTTTGAGAGAGAGAGAGAGAGAGAGAGAGAGAGCGAGCGAGCGAGCGCAAGCCAGGGAGGGGCAGAGAGAGAGGGAGAGAGAAATCCCAAGCAGGCTCCGCCCAATGCAGAACTCACAAACCATGAGATCATGACCTGAGCTGAAACCAAGAGTCGGATGGATGCTCAACCGACTGAACCACCCAGGTGCCCCTCAAAAAGTACTTTTTAAAACCATGATTATGGATGAATAACAACAATATCATCATAGTTAGATGCTCACTGTTCTCTGCGTGACGGCCTCTAAAGCAAACAGATTGTACCGACTTGGCAACAAGGCCAATGGTCTCTCGCAAACTGTTGAAACTTTTACAGATTAGAGCAATTAAATGGTAAATACTCTACTTGATATTCTAAGTGTAGTGGGCTTCTTTGGGGAGTATCTGCCTGGTAGAAAAGCCACTCTCTCCTCCTCTGGGGAACAAGTTCAGACCACCCTTCCCCCTTCTAGTTCGTGCTCTGTCTCCCGCGGATGCACCACAGAGCCGGAGCGCTGGAGCTGGGAAACACGCGACGGTGATAGTCTGCCATGTGACTTGGGAAAAAAATGAAAACTCATTTGGAGGCAGACAGTGTTACAAATCAAACAGATCTACAGGGACAAGAAGAAACAAGCTCCACACAGTCCCAGCTTTGGCTCTCCAATTCTGGTTCCAGTTCTGTCTTGCAGTCCTGCCCTTAATATACTGGAAATACCCACCAATTCCTGACACCATTTCATATTTTTCGGTAGTTTTTTGGGGTGAGAGTTAAAAAGCCTAAGTTGCTGCCTATTACTTGTGATCCTATTTGTTTGAGCCTATTTTCTGTACTATTACTGTTTGTTTCCTAGCACAGAAAATAGGTTCAAATAAAAATTTAAATTAACGATACCCTCTAAAAATTGCACGGACGATGTCATGTGTTACAATCTTTTTGGAAGGAAATTTGGGAGCATCTATAAAAACTTAAGATGTATATGTTCTCTGACCCAGGATTTCTACTTCTAGAAAATTCTACAGACATGTTCACTATAGCATTATTTTTGACAATAAAATATTATGAATTACTTAAATTATGTAAATGGCTAGGCATTTTATATCTATCCATACAGTGGAATACTATGCAGACTTTAACGAGAATTTTCCATACAAAATACACACATAGCCTAAACTGGAAAAATGCAAATATATCAGATGAAAAAAAGCAAACTGTAGAAGTTTGAATATACAGCATGTTTCACATCTCTAAGGGAAATAAGTATATTCTTTTCTCTTCACATATCCCAATAAAATATATCCACCTTATAGAGGTGAATTAACATGTAAGAGAGACAAAGTGCTATTCTGAAGCTTTGAAGCAATGTTATACTTGCTAAAAGGCACTATCCAGGTAACTAAATCTGTATTGGTTAATACCTATCCACTCTAGTTGTTGAAATATATTAATTGCATGTAAGTTTTGTAATACTCTGCCAAGTATGAAAATTTTCTGCAAGGATGTAACAGGGTCCCCCCGGAGAACACTGCCAGGGTGAAGGGCAGCCTCACTTTTCATTTGGTGCCCTAAAAATTTTTTTTTAAATCATGTGCATGTATTACTTTTGTAATTTCAACAAAAACGTCTTTAAAATGAAGGGGATGTAGGTAAATACCCGCTCCTTAAATGAGTAAGCCATACTACACTGAGGGCCTTCTAGAGGGCCTTAACCCCATCACCGGGGTTGGACACTAGGGAGGTAAAACCAGACAATGTAGAAAAAGTAAAGCTTTAGGACCGTAGGAATGTGCTAGCTGATCTCTCCATTCAACAGATGAAAAACACCCCAAAGTCGAGAGGAAGTAATCTGCCCAAAGGCTAAACACAGCTGAACTGGCGGTTAAGTAAGATGAGGGTCAAGAGTATCTTAGTTTCTTTTTCCTCTATTCTTCTACTCAAAATTCTGAGATGGTAATTTTGCCCTGAGAGGAGACTAAACTGAACAGACTTTTTTTTTTTCAGTTTTTATTTATGTGTTTTGAGACAGAGACACAGTGTGAGTGGGGGAAGGGCAGAGAGAGAGGACCCCAAGCAGGCTCCGTGCTGTCAGCACAGAACCCCGTGCGGGGCCCGAACTCACAAAACCGTGAGATCATGACCCGAGCTGCCACGGAGAGTCAGACGCTTAACCGACCGAGCCAGCCAGGCGCCCCTGAACAGACGTTTGAAGAAGACTTGTGGTGGATCTTGAGGACTGAGAGGATAGAGGAACCGAGGAAAAGGAAGCAATCAGAAAACTTCAGTTTCTGGTCTAGGGCACCTAGATGAACGAGGCGGCAAACCACCGAAGGGAGCCCAGGTGAGGGCGGGCCGGGCGGGTAGCCTGGGGTAGGTGTTTTTCATGGATTCATTCTCTCACCCATTCAGGCAGCAAGTACTGTATTCAGAGAGTTTCTGCCATGTGGCAAATACTGCTTGACGGTATTAAAGTCTGAATTGATGCGCCCAGTTCTGTTTGGGTTTGTAGGTTTGGATAATAGGTGGCTCAAGGACAGCTGTCCTGGGGGAGGCCTGGGAAGACGATGGAGCAGCACGACCCCGAGCTCACCTCATCCCACGGACACCCACAGATCACAGACACATCGGTGCAAGAAACCCAGAACAGGAACCAAGCGGGAGATGCTGAACTGGGCGGCGCAGGCCAAGGAGAGTGGGAAGCCTTAAATGATGGGTCCCGGGCCCCCAGGGGGAGAGGGCTGCACCTTCTTCCCTTGCATCCCCGGGGAGGACGCTGCAGCCCTGGGGCAGGGAGGTGGGAGGCCTCCAGGCAGACAAGCAATCCTCGTGTGTAGCTGCAACTCCGCCCGTGTACCTGACGTACAAGAAAGGGTCTGGGATACAGGTGAGTGCTGGTGTGACAGTGTCCTTGAATCTGCTCTAACTCATATGAGGAAAGTGAACTCCTTCTTGAAAACTATTAAAGAAAACAAATTGAGACACAATAAACGAATGATCACAATCTCACAGTGTCAGAATTCCATAACTGAAAACAAAAGTTGAAGGAACAGTACAAAACGAATTGGGGCAGGGCACCCTCGTGAAGTGAAGACATAGAAAAATAAGGGGTGCTTGGGTGGCTCAGTTGGCTGAGCATCTGACTCCCGAATTTGGCTCCGGTCATGATCCCAGGGTCGTGGGATCAAACCCTGTATGGGACTCTGCACTGAGAAGGGAGCCTGCTTAAGATACCCATTCTCTCTCTCTCCAAAAAGAAAAAAAAAAGAAAAAAATTAAATTACATTTAAAAAAAAGAAAAAAATTTAGGAGGATGAATCATCATTCAAGGATGCAGAACAGAACTATACTAGAAAAGCCAAAAGAAGAAAGCTTCTCAAGAAGTCAGAGGGCAAAAGCCACTGAGCTCAAGGAGGGAGAACGGAGGCCAGCTGTCTGGAATCACGTGGGAAGGAACACAGGCCCTGGGTACAGACAGCTTACCAGAGGATCTAACTCAAAATATAATAGTGGCTAGAATATCAACAGAACCAAATTTTTGTTGTGACTGTTGTTTTAAGTTTATTTATTTTGAGAGAGAGAGAGAGAGAGAGTGTATGTAAGTGGGGGAGGGGCAGAGAGAGGGGGGCGGGGAGCAGGGAGCGGGGAGAGAATCCCAAGCAGCCTCCTTGCTGTCAGCACAGAGCCTGATGGGGGGCTTGAACCCACGAACTGTGAGACCGGGACCTGAGCCGACGTCAATAGCTGGATGCTTAACTGACTGAGCCACCCAGGTGCCCTGAAATTTTTGTTGTTGTTTTTAAGAGAGACATACTTTGACGCATACCTCAAAGCAGAAGGAAGAAGTTGGTTGTAATTTATTAAGTGGAGAAGCAAGAGTTTTAGGAGAAAACTGGGGGAGAAGAGAGGAAAAAGGTCAGCAATCTCCATGCAAATATACGAAAGGACGAGGGGTGCCTGCGTGGCTCAGCTGGTTAAATGTCTGGCTCTTGATTTCAACTCAGGTCATGATCTCACGGTTCATGAGGTTAATTAAGCTCCACGTCAGGCCCTGTGCTGACAGCGCAAAGCCTACTTGGGATTCTTTCTCTCCGTCTCTGCCCCTCTACCGCCCTCTTCTCTCTCGAAATAAATAAAAGCAACGTTAAGGAAAAGAAGGAGAGGAACACAGACACCCAGAGGAAACTGACAAGCTCTGGAAAAGCCAGCCCGTAAGGGTGCGGTGACAGTGCACTGTGCTGGGAGCAGCAGGGACTCTGTCACCAGTCAGGTGAGATGCCACTTCTCCCGCCAACCGCGTCAGTTACTGGGTCAGTAACTCTCTTTCCACGAGCCTCACTTTCCTCCTGTGTGAGTGCAAATAATACCACGTGTAAGGGACTGCCGTACAGATTAAATACAAAATCTTCTAGAACATATCAGATTCTCAATAAAGCGGGTGTTATTCATAGGATAATAAAAATTATTTCTGGTAAATATATGATTACAATTCCTGATAAAACAGAAATTCGGACTACGATGGGAAAAATCACGGAGAGAAGGCTAGTTAGATTCGCAAGTGCACAAACGGTGCGACACTAGAACTGGGATGACACAGAGAAGGTCGGCAAGGCCCCCGCACGAGAGTGACGTGCAGAGAGCGCAGGAGCGGCCCCGGAGGAGGGACAGATTCATTCAACAAACACCTACCGAGGGCCTATTAATGAGACACTTCGTTAGGGACCACGGGAGAAACTCCTGACTGCCAGACTCTTAGAATCAGGTCGAGGAGGTGAGATAAACAGAAATGACTATGAGGCTGTGATTTGTGATCGACAAGGTAAGAATTTGAGAAGTTCCAAGCACTTTTAAAAATTACTTCTTGTTCAAGTGAATAGAAATGGGTGAAAAGTAGACATTAAAACTTAAACTGGATTTAAAGAGGAAAAAATAATCATTCTAGGCAGAGGAAAAGACATTTCAAAAAGGTGGGGAAAGACAGAGTGCTTCAGCACAGAGTTGATACAGGGAAACAGTGTGGGACAAAGGGAGAGAGACGTTGGTTGGATCCACCCTGTGGAGACTAAATTTTGTTTGTTTGATGAATAGATAATAATATGTCTACATGGTTCAAAAAGACCAAAGAGGAAGTGAGTGAAAAGCTTCCCTTCTGCCCCGGAGATCCTTCCTGTGGAGGCCGCTCTGTCACTTTCATTTGTCTGTGGTCTATGGAAGGTCCACTTCCTATAATACGTGTTTCTGTAATTTTGTTTTTTAAAGAATGAATAGATTTGACTTCTACAACAAGAAAAAAGAATAAAAGTCCCCAAAGTTTGGAATTCTAAGCAGCAGAAGTGCAGTATAAAACAGTGCTCCAGAGCTGGGACTCTGCCTGTCGTCAGAAGGTAAGAAGCTGTAAATCTCAGACCTTATCACTCGGGGACTTTGGACCCCTCATTGTGCCTCCTGTCCTCATCTCTAAAATGAGGACAAGTGCATCACCTACCTCAGAGTTGTCCCGAGGATTAAATAATCACCAGCAAAGTGTGTAAGACTGAATAGATGAAGGATATTATTCAGATTAGAGGAAAGTCATTATAATTAATGAAAAATAATAAAGCTTACAGTGTAAAGATTTTACATCAGCGGCTATTAACTCTTCAGGACACATGTACTGCTCTGAAAATCAGATGATCTTGCTATGAATGGGCTACTCTGAAAGCTACACGTACCCACAACTTTGCATATTATCTCAGGATTCATAAATTCTTCAAAATCTTGGATTTTAGGTTAAGAACGTCTAATCTACAGAACTAGAAGCGCAAATAATTATTATAAACCACACTTTTCATGATTGAATAGAAAAAGGATTATTCTATATTAGCTATCATTTACTGAAAATTTATAATTATATACCAAGATCTACACTAAATGCACATCTCATTTACGTATCTCACTTAATATTTCCACTAACCCAAAGACGTAGATATGTTTAGCCTTGTTTTAAAATAAGGACACAAGCACTTACAAAGCTAGTGACTCTCGCTACACTAGTAATAGAAAAGCTGGGGTCTGATCTGATATTCACGTTTTCGTTATGTATGGCAATGTATTAGTCATGCAAAATGAATAGTATTAAGCGCACGAAAAATTTAAAAATCAAATACCCCCTCCTAAAATCTGGCACAAACTTTGTACTTCCTTAGTCACAACTTGTATGTGACTATACGAAAGTAAAGTTCCTTTTGCTTCCCCGCGGAGTTCAGCAGCATAGTGGGTTCTAGGGCCACAGCACCTCGATTTTATGCCAATTTTTCACATAGACCCTGTCTGACCTTGAACAAGTTATCAACCTCTCTGTGTCTCAGTCTCCTCGCCTGTGAAATGAAGACAACAGTATCTACGGCACAGGGCTGTTGTGAAGTTTAAATGAGTGTGTGTAAAGCACTCAGAACTGAGTAACTGTCGGCCATTACAGTATCTGCTATTTGAACAAACTCAGGAGGTTCGTAATACATAACGTAAAACAATTTCCTATATTGAAGTGACCACACTGGTCACTCAGAAATTCATCCCTATCGTAAGACTCTCACCTGAGAAAAGGAAGGTGCTGGAGGAGCACCCACCTCAGTGCAGGAAGTGGGACAGCGGAAATACCAGTGGCTTTGGAACCAGACTAACCTGAGTTCAAATTCTGGCTCTCTGAATAGTAGTTTTAAAAACTGAACAGAGAGTACCCGGGTGGCTCAGTCGGTTGAGCGTCCAACTTTGGCTCAGGTCGAACTCATAGTGAGTTTGAGCCCCACCCTGGGTTCACCGCTGTCAGCGCAGAACCCACTTCGGATACTCTTTCTCGCTCTCTACCCCTCCCCCAGCCTCAAAAATAAACAAACATTAAAAAAAAAAACTGGAACAGGCTTCCTCCCCTTTGTGTCTTTTATTCCTATCCATTCTAAGTTCGTGCATTCTTGATTAAAAAAAAATTACTCTTGTGATGACACACGATATTCAAATTCAAACCAGAATTTCCAAAAGATGGTTCACTAAGAATAACAAATGAAATTTTTAGCCATGATGTTGAGTTGGAAAATAAATGCACAGAGACTCATAGTGAGCCCCTTAAAAAATCAATTATCAGGGCACCTGGGTGGCTCAGTCGGTCGAGCGTCCGACTTCAGCTCAGGTCATGATCTCACACTCCGTGAGTTCAAGCCCCGCTCGGGCTCTGTGCTGACAGCTCGGAGCCTGGAGCCTGCTTCAGATTCTGCGTCTCCCTCTCTCTGACCCTCCCCCATTCATGTTCTGTCTTTCTCGGTCTCAAAAATAAATAAAAATTAAAAAAAAAATCAGTTATCAACATATGTACATATATGGACATATCTCTGAAATACCACAGAAGATACAGAACACGGGAAAATCTTGTTCTTGAAGACATTATCTGCAGCAATTACAATATCCATTTAATAGTCAAATCACGCAGACATATCTTGGCAGGGTTAATTATATTTTAAAACTTCTACGGAAAGGAAAACTTAAGACTGGTTTTTCTTACTCCTTGAAGCTGATGTGGTGTAGATAGGTAAGTCCCTTGCCGCTCTTCTCAAAATTTCTTGTTGTCTTTCTTGGCTGAATTCCTTTTCGTAACGTTCCTTTTCAGAATTGGACAAATAGAACTATAAAAGGAGAAATAACTATTAATTCTTTTTAATCCCATGATCATGAACTATCACACTCAGAAAAAGAAAGTTTTATCCAGAACAAACAAAAAAACATTTTCTTCCATGAAGAAAAGGCAAAATTTGTTTTCAGATTTAAGAGGCTAAATCAAGAACATTTTAACAAAACTACATACCTTTGACATTAAAAAATATCTGCCCTCTATTCTAATGATGGGAAAGAATATGAACTAGAAAATTGTGTATCTTTGCTTTCTACAGACAAAACTAAATACCTCCCAACCAAAAAGGGTTAAGTATACACTTTCTACTAGAAAAACTCTGGTGTTTGAAAATTAGTGTCAAGAAATTTTTAATTTTTGGAAGGATGCCCAAAGATTCACTTGCTTTGGGTAACAGGTTAAATCGCAGGCATGGGGTCCAGCTATTTTCTGGCCAAATATTTCAGTGAGGACAAGCCATTCTTTTACTACTTTGTTTTAGCTTTGAAAAAGCTAACCAACAGGAGTACTTTCTGCAAAATGACTAAGGATTGTCAAGGCAGGCATAGTCTCCTTTTCTCCAAGAGCGATTCCTTTATGGAGTTATTTCTAGTTTCCATCTCTCACGTCTTTAATCCCACAGTGTGGCCAGCTTGCAGTTTGTTTCCTTGAACAGCACCTTCCCCACAAAGGACTGTCCAGGCTGCTCTTCTTGTCAGGTCGTGGTCATCCCAGCATCTCAAGGACCCTGAGTCTTATGCCTCTAGAATTTCAGGCAGATAGATGCTTTCAGTTTCTCTCTCTTTATTTCACAGAATTTCTTTTTCAACTAAAAATGGCTTGAGACTTGCTCTGTTTCTCAATTTTTACTTACAGGGTTTTGCGTGAATGGAGTTTCATCTCTTTCCGTTCAAGTATTTTGAGCCACCTGCTAACTCACTACTAAACTTTCATACTCCTGGTGCCCCACCATCAATAATAACAGCATGAGCAGTCTGTGCAGTCTCTCCTATTACAAACAAGGCAACAGTTTGGCATGTCTGAAGGAGCTCTGGGTTGAGGAACTTTCTAAGACTGCACATCTACTGACAGAGCTGACATTAAGATACAAGTCTTTTGAGTTTTACTCCAGCATGCGTCCCTCCACACTGCTAACGTAAAATAAATGTTCTTGATTTTTGCAGACTATTACTCTAACCTGACCAGACAGCACAGTTCAGGATGTGGAAGTCTATTTAGATGACCTCACCTGGTTCTCACACTCAAATCTTTATGGCACAAGAAATCCCCAAATGATTTGCAAGGAGTAATACAGACAAATAAAAAGGACAGAAAGCAGTCAGAAAAGATTCCCATAATCTTAACCTGAGACTGTGGAGGTCACTTATCTAACCTCCCGGGCAGGTAGGAATCTTCAGACGACGTTTCTGAGATCCAGTCCCTCTTGAATCAGATAATGAAGTACTTCCCTGCTTTGCAAAATGGTCCATTCTCTTTTAAGAGAATTATAACTTGTAACCTGTTTGAATTAAATGTTCTTTCCTGACATGATGTGCCCCTGTCGCATTCACAGTAAAGTATAAGAACCATATGGTATGATGATAAATATGTATTTGGAAAGGAGACATTCCTCGTAAAACGTGAACAGATTTCCCTGGACCGTCCTATTTGTAGCCAGGCCTCAACATCATCACTCTGCCTTAAGGACTACTGTCACAAACTATGAAAAACTTAAACGAAATGAAAATCTCACGAGACACCAGAATTTTAGGTGAGGAATGGAACAAAAAAAATGTTAATGGGTTCGAGTTCTGAAATTATTATTATGATTCTGGTTTTCATTAAAAGCTATGACTATCATTCAAACTATAAAATGCCAGTATCTTAAATTCAGTGTTCAGATGGTTCCATTTAAATACACATTAAATACCAGTTAAGAACCTGGCACTGTTCCAGGTAACAGGAATCCACAGATGAGTAACAACGTGGCCCTTGACTCCAAAGTCCGTTTCTACAGTCCAGTCGGAAGGTCAGCCATGCCAACAGAGAAGTACAAATTACAAATCAGCCTAAGTGCCAGGTACCATAAAAGCTCCCTTAGGAGGGAGCGGGAACTGCCAATGAAAGTGTCTTGGAGGAAGTGGGGTCCGGGCTGGGTTCTGAGAGATAAACAGGAATCTTGCGGGAAAACAAGGAGGGGAAGAGAATCTCGGTAACAGGCGCAGCATGCAGAAAGCACGAAGACGTGACCGCAGCAAGGTATAGTCAGCGCGAGATAGGACTTGGCTGTCGAGGGCCAGGAAGAAGCAGTGGAGATGACGCTGCTAAGATGCGTTAGGGTCATTAAGCGGGGGTCTCAGGTAATCAGTAATGGTTAACGGCTTGGCAACTCGCAGGTGTGTTGTCGCATGAGGTGTGGTCTCACCGCAGCAGCGAGCAACGGCTGAACCGCACGGGCTGTCGCTGGGGGAGGGTCCGCACTGCAGGCAGCGAGTTGTCACTGCAACCGTAGGTCGCCGGAGGGTCTCGCGCAATCGGTGCAGGCAGTGCCAGAGCAACGGTTTGCACCGCGCGAAGGCCCGCCGAGGGGTCCGCGGCAACTCGCGCGTGCGCAAAGCGAGCAACGGCTTGCACCCCTTCCCCAGCTGTCGCTGAGGGGGGTCTCGCGCACCGCGCAGCGAGCACCACGCAACCGCGGTAGCTGTTCAGCGCGAGGGTCCGCAGGCAAAGGAGGCCTGCTTGGTACCCTAGCTGAGGGCCCCTGCGGCACTGCGGCAAAGGGAGCACGGCTTGCAACTGTAGGGTTGTCAGCGAGGGTCTCTGCACTGCAAAGGAGCACTCAAGGCTGCACCCGTGGGGAAGTGCTGTCACGGAGGTCTCACAAAACTGCAAAGGAGCACGGCTTGCACCCTCTAGCTCTGGGAGGGTCTCTGGGTGGCACTGGGCAGTAGCGAGGAGCACTGCTTGGTGGTAACTGTAGCTTGTCATGAGGGTCTCATGACCGCGGCAGGGGAGTAAAGCAAAGGAGGTTAATTGCCGCATCCGTGGTAGCTGTCGCGAGGGTCTCGGCAATCAAAAGGCAGCGAGAGAGGAGCAACGGCTTGCACCCCTGAAGAAATGGTCTCAGGCACCGCAGCAAAGGAGCACGGGTTTGCACCCCTGTAGCTGTCGCTGTCGAGGGAGTCCGCACCGCAAGGCAAAGGAGCACGGCTTGCACCCTCTAGCTGTCACGGAGGGTCTCGTGCACCGTGCAAAGGAGCACGGCTTGCACCCTGTAGCTGTCGCTGTCACGGAGGGTCTCGTGCACCGTGCAAAGGAGCACGGCTTGCACCCTCTAGCTGTCACGGAGGGTCTCGTGCACCGTGCAAAGGAGCACGGCTTGCACCGTGTAGCTGTCACGGAGGGTCTCGTGCACCGTGCAAAGGAGCACGGCTTGCACCCTCTAGCTGGCCGGCAGCCACTGCAGGGTGATGGGAGGAGCGATGGGGCCCTATCTTGTCCTCGGAGAGAGGACGCCTAGTGACAGAAGATGCCTGCTGGCTCTTCAGATGCTGCTCCTCCTCACCGTTCATTCATTCACATATTTAGCAATCTGCCTGCTGTGTAAGACGTCTGACTCGAGGCAATGGGGACAGAGCAATAAACAACGAAGATCCTCCCTTCAAAGAGCTAAGACTTCAGTGAGAGAGATACTGTGCTTATAGAGGTCTCAGTTTAGGTGCCACGTCCTCAGAGGTTTCCTTGACCATACGACCCAAAGTAGCTTTTCTCCCTGGTGGCTTTTATTGTTATGCTTTACTCCATCATCATGTTCTCACTCTAAAACTAGGTAAATGTATCACAGTTATAATCATTTGTTTACCATCTGTGTCTCCCTTTAAAATGTAAGGACCATGTCTGTCTTGTTCCCTTAATTCCCAGAGCCTAGCACAGTCTGGTAAACAGGAGGTGCTAAGTACTTGCTGACAAAGAATGAAGAATATACCCAGGGGCGCCTGGGTGGCTCAGTCGGTTGAACGTCTGATTTCAGCTCAGGTCACGATCTCCCAGTTTGTGAGTTCGAGCCCCGCATCGGGCTTGCTGCTGTCAGCGCAGAGCCCCGCTTCGGATCCTCTCCCCCTTCTCGTTCCGCCCCTCCCCCGCCTGTGAACGCTCGTGCTCGCTCTCTCTCTCTCTCTTAAAAATAAAAACACTATGGGGCGCCTGGGTGGCGCAGTCGGTTAAGCGTCCGACTTCAGCCAGGTCACGATCTCGCGGTCCTGAGTTCGAGCCCCGCGTCGGGCTCTGGGCTGATGGCTCAGAGCCTGGAGCCTGTTTCCGATTCTGTGTCTCCCTCTCTCTCTGCCCCTCGCCCATTCATGCTCTGTCTCTCTCTGTCCCAAAAATAAATAAACATTGAAAAAAAAAAATAAAAACACTAAAAGAAAAAAAATAAAAAAATAAAAAAATACCGTATGTATAACTTAACTTTCCTAAAAATGTAGAGCTTTTTAGAGTCAAACGATTTCCCTGCGTCTGATGGCCAAGTGTTTTTCTAACCTCTGAGCTCACAGAGTCCTTTTAATGCAGTTACTTTAGGAGCCACCTCACAGCTTTGTAACTCCTACAAGGAGCTACCTCAGTCAGCCATCAGAGAACCACAAACTCCTGCTCTTTTCTGGCTGTCACCCTAGCTTAACTTAGCCGCCCTTGACGATTTCATAATCAACTCATTCAGTAGTGAACACCTACTACGTGCTAAGTAGTGGGGAGACGGGTGTAGCACAGAACAGCATGAAAATGATCTCTGCCCTCAAAAAACGGACAGTAAAGTGATGCATTCAAGGCACCAAGCAACTATGAAACTGGACGGTAAGTTCTATGACGGGAAGGTAGAGCGTGCCAGGGCAGGGCCACTGGCCACAGGCCGGGGCAGTCAGCTCACCTTCTCAGAAGAGGGAGCGTGAAGAATGGGGGTGTATGTAACGGCTTAGGTCCTGGGCTGAATGCTAGATGGATGCAATATGACAAAACAACCAAAATAAGTAAATAACACTCAAATGGTGCTTATTACGTGCTGTGTATTCTTCGGAGCACTTTACATACACTATTAACCATATACTGTTATTATAAACATTACTAACCACATATATTATTAATTTATTCAACGTTTACAACAATCCCGTAAGGCATATACTAGTATTGTCCTCGTTCTACAGGACAGACGTGAGGTACAGACGGTTGAGGGAAGTCTCCAATGTTGTTGAGCCGGGGCAGTCTGGGGCCGGAGCCTGAGTTCTTCACCTCTACACTGTACTGCTTCTCAAAAGCATTACCGACTGTTTTTCTTATTCTATGTTTTCTTTACTATAATGACAACTATTTACTTCTACACATGCTATATTTTCAACGGCCATCACTAGTATTAAGTGATCCAATAAAATCAGTTCCTTTTCAACTCAGAGCTTAAGGTATGGATGGCAGTTTGTAACATAACTTTTAAGGGGCGACTAATTATTGTCAAATGTCTGAAGAATATATGAAGAAACACAAAGTTTGATCGATGATTTCATTACCCCTTAAAACAAAAGCACCCAATAGAAAAAAAGGGCAAAAACCATTTGGCATTTTCTTAATGCTCAATTACACACCACATATGATCCAGCAGTTGTAACCCTAGGCATCTACCCAAAAGAGCTATATATGTACGTTTGTAAATATGCATGTATGTGTATATAATATGCATATGCAGAAGAACGTTTACAGCAGCCCTATTTTTAACAGCCTTAAATTGGAACCCACCCAAATGCCCTTGCCCATGAACAACAGACCAGCTAAACAAACTGTTATTTACCGCAACCGAATACTCAACAAGAATGAGAATGAATGCTTCACAACTATATGCAACGACACGGATGAATCTCGCAAACGGAATGTTAATGAAAGAAGCCAGACACACAAACACACAGAGTGTAGGATCCCATTTACATGAAGTGCAAAACCAGGCAAAGCAAACTGATGCTATTAGGGGGGCAGGAGAGTGGTTTGTGGCAGGTGGGTGCCTGGAAGGGCGCACGAGGAGGCTTACGAGATGCTGGAGATGTGTCGTGTCTTCGACCGGGTGGTGGTTACTAAAAGGTGTTCAGTTTGTGAAAATCCATCAACGTACACTTATGTTTATACTCTTCTGCATGTATGTTCTACAAAAAGTTAAATGAACGTTGATATCATTTTTAAACACAGGGTCTATAATTCTGAAAGAATTTGATAGGAGGGGAAATAATTATCATCATCACCTAATCACTGGTTGCCAACCATGTGGCAGGTACTGTGTTAAAAGCTTTACGTGAATGAATCTCACTCAATCCTCACAAACATCTTACGGAAACAGGCACTATTTGTTAGCTCCATTTTCCAATGAGAAAACTGAGGTTCAGAGACATTATGTAATGTGTTAGAGCAGAAAATCAAACTCAGGTAACCCTAACGCCAGAGAGCATATTCTTAGCCATCTAGCTATACCAAATGTCAGTCAGCTATGTCAAGGCAGGAGAAACACACTGGTCTTAAAACTTACTCTACATTAATATTTACTCACATTATTTTTCCCAATGGAATCTCAAATTAGAAGAAACACTAGACATACTAAAGTATAACAAACAATAGCCTAGACAAGTTGTTCTCCACAACCAAAACTTTCTTCTGTCGCAGCATATTTGTTCAGGCCTGAGAAAATACGTTAAGGTGTCCAAAAATAAACTCTACTTCTCTAATTCAATTCTCTGTCCCTTAAGATTTTTTACTCCAATAAAAAAAAAATACGTCTTTAAGAAAACATAGCATGGCAGAAAAATACCAGTATAAGCAAACGTTAGCACTATTCTCGATCTCAGCGAGCTGAGCGGGTTGTATCTGAGACCGGGCTGACGACTCACATTCACAGTGTGGAGTCACCAAGCGAGTTCATGAGCGGAAACAGAACAAATGCATTATGTAATAAAGTTTTAACGAAGGTAACACAGGGAAAATAATTCCACAATTAGCTACAGCATTTGGCAATTTACCAACATGAAATTTACCTCTTTGGAGGGGGAAGCGGGAGATGTGAAAATTGTCATCCAATAGGACCATACAAACATAACAAAGAACAGATGGAAAGCCACAAGGTAAACAACGGCCTTTCCTGGTAAATAAAAACAAATAACATTTCATTGAATCCAGGTGAAAACAGGAAGAAGCTTTACATTAAAACACAATATTTAGGGTCAGGAGGCTTAATCCAATAAATAACCTTCATTAAAATCTACTGAAGACATCAAATATGTAAACGCCTTTATCTGCATGACGTCACAATTACAGATATGAAGAAACATTCAATTCCTGCATTTAAGGGTTATCAGCCTGGTTTATAAGTAAAGACTGCAGTCTAAGAGATTTGATTTTATTAAAACGCTTAAGATTCAAGTTGAAACACCTTCTCTCAGTGTATTTCAAGGTCTTTCTAAAAGTTACATCTAAAAGTTACATTTTAAATGATTTAAAACTTATTTAAGACAGAAGCCACCACCATGAACATTAAGTCCAAGGAACTATCAGCTGAAAGTAATACAGGGAGTTCCCATCACAGTGAATAATGAGTCATCTGAAAAACTCAGTTCCTGGATTGTCCAGAAAAGTTACGCTAAATTTCATTCTCCTTTCCACAAAGGGTACCCAAGAATTTTCAGCCCCTTAAAATTCCTACCATAACTGGTTCCCAAGTAGATCAGCGTAACATTCTAACACCCTTAGCTCCAAATATTAACTCACAGATATAATTCAAAGCTTTTTGTTGTTTCTGCAGTTTTTCTATTTGAAAGAAGCAGAACAGGTTTCCGAAAGAAGCAAGGACTGTTTACCAGGTGCCTAAAGTCCTTTTCCATTTGGAATGTGGCACCACAAACCACTGAACAAAACCAAATAGACACAAGCATAAAAGTCTGCAATTCTACTCATTTTGAAAGTTGAGATCAAATATTACTTCTTCCACACAAGCCTTCTCCATTACTTTTGCAACTCATTACCTCTTCATACCATACTCCCTCCAAAATCTGCTCAGAACTTCAGTTAAAGCACTTAATTGGTTTCATTAAAGTTAGCTGCTTAATATTGATGACCTAATACATGCAAAATATTTAAAACAGTGCCTGGTACATAATAAATCCTTAATAAATACTGGCTATTTTTTTAAGTAATCTCTACGCCCAACATGGGGCTCGCACTCACAACCCTGACATCAAGAGTCGCATGTCTACTGACTCAGCCGGCCAGGAGCCCCAGTACTGGCTATTATTATCATTACTATCCAAGAATCTTAATTTCCTCTCAAAATTTGGTTCTTTTTGCACGTTCCCTATTTCAGTGTTTCCCAAGTTAAAGAAATGATAAAAGTTTTCACTGGTCTGCAGTGAAATGAGAAACATTAAGAACAATGTCGTGAAGTTTTCATAAAGCTAACATGTATTGAATTCGAAGTACTATTCTTCCTTTGGTCTGAGGTTATTTTTCTCTCACTTCTGGTTTAAAAAGTGTTCTTTTGAAATAAAATAATGATAAAAAAATTAACAATCGTTGGACCCAGCCTTTTCTTTTGCTGTTATACTGGTGCATGTGTGGCTAAGAGAGCAGAACCACCAGTACCACAGTTAACTGGCGCGGGAAGCCCGGGCCCAAGGACTCCTCACATCGCACTGCTGATCGGCACAAAGTCCTTCAAATTCCAATTCCTAAAATCTCTTTCAAAGTAAACTCTCTCTCGTTATTTTCACTCTCAGTGTAACAGCTCATATCCTGTTGCTGATCTCATTTGGTTCACTGCAAAAGCCAACTGGTCTCTTTGCCTCCAGCCCATCTCAATGGCCAGTGTAAAATGTGTTGTTCAGAGTATCACCTTGGCTGTGACACTGCTGGGAAGGAACTCCACGTGCATGACTGGTGTATGCGCTGTAAACCACTGGGACTTCTTAGTAGCCACGTTTGACCACAGCTACTCAGATCACTAATTCCACCCACTGAAAGCCTACCTGAAGGTATATAATGTATACCTTATTTCTAACCCTCCCTATAGTCCTGGAAGGTGTTCTTTCAGTTTACAAACGTGAAACCTGAGGCTCAGAGAATTTAGTATCTTGCCCAATGTCACTTAGTAAATGATAAAGCCAGAATTCAAACCCACATCCGCCTGACAAAAATCCAAGGTTCTTTTCATTACGTCATATTTTCCAAAAGTATATTTTCCTTCATTTTACCCACCATCTTAGTAGTTAACATCCGATTTCAGAGCCAACATCTGATGCCAAGATAAAATCTTTCCCACAACTCCCATCTATCTTCAAATTTGCTTTCTTTTCAACGTCCACTAAAACTGATTGTCACCCTCATTGAAAATTCTGGTTTCTGAAAATCTCTGCTCCCTTCAGGTTGAACCCCATGGTCTACCCAATGGATTCATTATTATTCCTTCATTTGACTTTCCTTTGGAAAAGTATACTGGAGCTCAGTCTCCTACTGTTATATGAACAGTGAGGCATTTACTGAGTCTGCAGTATTATTTTTACTTAGCTTGCTTCACTTCTTTATATTTTTGCCTGGCCTCCATATTCAATCAAATTTGTCAATCTTCGTCTGTATACTACTGTATAGCTTTGAGATAAACGGTAACCTTGAGGTACTTTAAACTTCTTAATCATTTAGTTACTTACAACTAAGGTCAGCATATGAAACAATATACTCTCAAAATATTTTTAAAGACATTTAATATATTTTTAGAGTATTTCTGCTCTCCACAGAAAATGGTTTCTGCTTTAAAAAATCTCAACCCTCAGCTAAAAGAACAAAACAGATAAATCTCTTAGCATAATGCCTGAAATATAATAAGTTCTTAACAAATGGAAATTATCACATTCTAATGTAATGAAACACTGCTTTTATTTATTTATGTTTATTTTTAATCTTGAGAGGGAGGGAGAGAGAGACAGACAGACAGACAGAGCACAAGCAGGGGAGGGGCAGAGAGAGAAGGAGACACAGAATCCAAAGCAGGCTCCAGGCTCTGGGCTGTCAGCACAGAGCCCAACATGGGGCTTGAACTCACGAACCACAAGATCATGACCTGAGCCGACATTGGACGCTCAACCGACTGAGCCACCCAGGCGCCCTGATGAAATACTGCTTTTAAATAAATTAGAAATAATGTGATTGTTAGTAAGAAAACTTCTGGTCACATATATATGCTATAAACCATTGGTCAGAAGTAACAAAGTAAAATCTTAGTTAACTAAGCAAATTAAATAAAAGCAAAAAAAAAATCTATAAATCAAAAAATCTGATTCAAAAATCACCTGTAAGTGAATTTAAAAAAACAAACAAATAAGCAAACAAAAAAAAACGCCATCAAAAGAATCTTTGAAAGACATGGGTAAACTAGCCCCAAGAAATAATAAGTTAGATGTTCTTTTATAAATACTTCAGAAATTTCTCTGTTTTCTGTATCTGTGCTATCACATGTAGAAAACAGTTTTGATTTAAACGAAGAAAATCAAGCCTACCAAGGGGAAGTCTATATTCCTCTCCAACCCTGGCTAGAACTGACAAATTAGAGTCAAAGGCAACTTGAGATCTACATGCTTAATGCCTAATTCTTTCCAATAAGAATAAGTATTTATCAGTAATTTCTAACTGTTCAACTGTTTTAGAAATCCTCTGGATTTTGTATCTCAAATCAAATTTTATTTTTGAAATTTGATTTCAATAACTTATTTTCTTTTATCCTGGTGAAATACTGAGCAATGATTTTTCCCTGTAGGCATTATCTCGTTGACTAGTTGTTACAAAAAGTAGAATTCCCATTCAAAATAAACTCGTAATACAATTCACAAATTTAGTCTGGTTATTTTGTAAGATGTCTGTGAGCAGTAAAGCATTATTTTTAACAAACACATTATCAAGAGAACCATCAGTAAAATCTGGGCGTCATGAAACAAAATCCCCTCTTCAACCCTAGCTAGAACGGATATTAAAAATCTTTGGGGGTGCCTGGATGGCTCAGTTGGTTGGGCACCTGACTCTTGATTTTGGCTCAGGTCATGATCTTGCGGTCCTGGGACCAAGCCCTGTGTCAGTTCCATGCTGAGGGTGGAGCCTGCTTGGGATTCTCTGTCTCCCTCTGCCCCTCCCCCACTCAAGCTCTCTCTGTCCCTCTAAAATAACTAGCTAAACATTAAAAAAAAAGAAAAAAAATCTTTGAAGTACTACTGTCAAGAGTTCTGAAGAACATACAAGGCATAAATATGTACATAAATATATCAAAGAAGTTTGGGTACTAGGTGCCTTACAAAATAACAGCTACTCCAATTTATATAAACACCACAAATGAAAAGATATCGAATGAATACGAATAAACACAATACTGTATCTCCTACTTAAACTTTAAAAACATAGATTTTATTTCTGAAAACAAAAACACATATAGTCATCGCTAAATAAAAGCAAGCGGGTTGCAATTACGATACCATAAATATTCAACTTAAATTGAGACTTAAATTGCCTTACCGTTTTCTCCATTTCCAGAGAGAGTAACTAGAATAGAAGAAAAATAGTGAATAAATAATATACTTTAAACATTTTGTACATAAATTTTATTTCAGAGCAACTATTCATCCTAATATCTTTTTCACAAAAATAAAATTTAGTTATAATATGTGAACACTAATGCAAATTCAAGATTGCACACTTTTTATTATTTTTTTAAATATAATTTATTGTCAAATTGGCTAACATACAGCGTATACAGTGTGCTCTTGGTTTTGGGGGTAGATTCCCATGATTCATCACTTACATACAACACCCAGGGCTCATCCCAACAAGTGCCCCCCTCAATGCCCATCACTCATTCTCCCCTCTCCCCCACCCCTCTTCACCTCTGTTTGTTCTCTGTATTTAAGAGTCTCTTATGGTTTGCCTCCCTCCCTCTCTGTTTGTAACTTTTTTTCCCCTTCCCCTCCCCCATAGTCTTCTGTTAAGTTTCTCAAGTTCCACATATGAGAAGACTGCACACTTTAAAAACACTAAAATGCTAAACATAAAATTTTTTTTCTCCTCAACCAATCACATTAGAATTTTTTTCAGACCTTTGTTACTTTCAAACCTATCAATATGTATACAGTTATGTTTTCTTTAGCTCTTTCCTTAATGCCACGTACGGAATAAATAGGACTCTCCTCTATGGCACTCATATTTACGTAATCAGTCTGGGATGTACCTTACTAAACTTTGTGAAAACTATACTCAAGACAATTTGTCTTTTTCTATAGAAAAAAGGAAAGGAACCCATCCCTATAGTTTTTAGAGTGCTTTTTATCTCTAGCCTAAAACCCTGGGAATTGCTATTTATTCCTTCTCTCCAGGTAGTCCAATGGCTTTTAGGTCCTGTTAATTCTACTACCTAAGCCTCTTCAAATCTGTCACCTCCTTTCAATTTTTCCCATTACCTAATTTCAGGCCCTCTTCAAACATAATGGCTTAAAGACACTTTCAACTATCAGTTTCAACACACCTCACCACCAGCAAATTTGATGGCTGAATGTTCTTTAACACTTCCCAGCAGCCTTCGGAATAAAGTCCAAGATCTTCAGGGTAGCAACCACAGGCCCTCTGTGATCTACCTCTCCAGTCTGTCATTTGCCCATACCTGTGGTCTAATTATCCTGAACAAACAGCAGTTTCCTAAATGTATCAAGCAGTTTCACGTGTGCTGTGTGCCTCTCCAACTCACACTCCAAGGCACAGTTTAAATACTACCTCCTTTGTAAAGCCTTCCAGAGTCCCTCTTTAGGCAGAGCAGACACTCCTTTCTATCATCACTGCTCACTCTTTCATCTCTACCATGCCACGCCATTTTTTTGGCAATTACTTGGTGATATGTCTGTCTCACTCTACTGGACTGCACAGGTGTGGAATCATGTCTTAGATTAACAACCCTAAAAATTATTATTAACTGTATTTTACAGACAAGTAAGCTAAAGCTCAAAATATTTAAGTGACTTGGCTAAAGTCGCAAAACTAGTACATGTAGTGTAGCTCAAGCCTCCTTGGACTTGTATTCTGTCCTATAGTGTCTCTCACCTTATTCATTGTTTTAGTTCCAAAGCCTGGCATACAGCAGCAATGCTTAAGAAATATTTGTTAATTCAATAACCATTTTGGACTAAAATCTGTTGATAAAAGAGAGAAGTACCTGGACACCTCCTTAATAAACTAAAATATATCTACTTCGATCCCCAAACCAGCATAACTAATGAGAAACACGAGAGAAGTATTCCCACTAACATTCAGGAACAAAATAAGCAAGTTCATGATTTTTTTTAAAGCATTGTTGTAGAGAGGCATAGGGCTTCTTCTCAACCCAGCTCAGATCAATCAGGTAGAACAGCGGAGTAGTTAGATCCTGGGCTGGTCCCCCCTGGCCTCACAGAGCATTCCCCATTTATGCTAATATACACTAAAAATATAATTTTCAATACTGTCCTGATGTGAAATGATTAGGAAGCACTATGCAAGCCACACAATTATGAGAAATAAATTAGTGGTATACAAATGGAAAAGAAGCAAATGTATCACTAGTTGTATATTGTAAGACTACATGCCTTCACAGCCAAAGAAAACCAACGGAGAAACAACCATAAACGAAGGTGGTAGTGGTATACAGAAATCAGAGCTTTCCCAACATATGTGCAATCACTCTGTAGAAATTATAAGTGAATAAAACTTTTATTTATAAAGCCACCTAAAAAGATAACATTCCTATGGATGGACATAAGAACTGGGCAAGATCTACACGAGGGCTCCCCACAAGCCTCCACTGATACCATGGGGACGGATGCTTCATTCCTGCCCCGTGGGAATGGACATCTACCAACTGCCCAGGCCTTCACCTGCTCTGTTACGGCCCCAGTAGGAAAGCGGGGGAGGAGATACAAGAGGGTTTCCTTGTGAAAGCTGGGCCAGGGGGAAGTCTAAGCCCACGCTCAGCCTCTGCTGGAGAAAGTGGGGACAGAGTGTAGTTTTTCCATGGTTTTTGGCTGGAGCAGGGCCAGTTACTGTCTAGTTTGTCTTCCTAGGTTGCCCTTCTCCTGGTTTGGCTAAAGAAAACCAGCTTTCTTGGGGTTTTTCTGTCTGTGCCCACTGGTGCTTCCAGGTTGGCAGCTTCTCTAGCATGCAGGATGGGACACGTGAAGCAGGGAGTTTGCCTCAGTATCATTCCTCAGGCACCGAGGTCCTCAGCTGATCTGCCTTTCTCTCTCCACACTTCAGCATCTTATGTTTGTTTATGTTCCAGGGTTTTATTATTATTATTATTATTATTATTATTATTATTATTATTTTAATGTTTATTTATTTGAGAGAGAGAGAGATAGAGACAGACTGTGAGCAGGGGAGGGACAGAGAGAGAGGGAGTCACAGATTCTGAAGCAGGCTCCAGGCTCCGAGCTGCCAGCACAGAGCCTGACGCGGGGCTTGAACTCATAGACTGTGAGATCATGACCTGAGCTGAAGTCGGACGCTCAACCGACTGAGCCACCCAGGCGCCCTCCGTACAATATCCAGGGGTTTTCGTTGTACTTAGCAGGAAGAACAGTAAGAGTGTGTATTCACTCGTCCCAGAACTGGAAATTCCAATTTGTTTCTTTTTACTGCAGAGTAGTATTCTATTGTATGGAGGTCCCACAACTTATTTATCCATTTACCAGCTGATAAGACATTTGCTTTTGGTTTTTGGCTACTATGAATACTCACATACAAACCTTTGGGTGGACATATATTTTCATTACTTGGGTAAAATATTAGATACGAGATTGCTGGAGCTCTGTTTAACTTTATCAGACACAGCCACACCGCTTTCAAAAGTGGCTGTGTTGTTTTACATTCCCCACCAAAAATGTATGTTACAAGTTGCTTCACACCCTCATCAACACTTGGAACTGTCCATCTTTAAACTCGCAGCTATTCTAAAAAATATATAGTGATACCTCATTGTGATTTCGTGTTTCCCTAAAGACTACTGATGCTGAATATCTTTTTACATGCTTATTGGCCAGTCCTACACTTCTTTGTGAAGTTGTGTGTTGAAATTGTTGGCCACATTTTAATCATTATTTCCTTTATTATTGAACTGTAGGCTCCTTATATATCCTAGATATAGTCCTTTAACCAATATATTGTGCAAATATTTCCATCTAGTCCATATTTTATCTTTTCACTTATTTAACAGTGAGTTTTATTTATTTTTTAAAGAAACACAGTAAAACAGTGAGTTTTAAAGAGCAGAAATATTTTATTTTGATGAAGCCTAATTTATCATTTTTTTTCTTATATGGTTCATGCTTTGGGCCCTACTTAGCAAATCTTTACCAACCAGAGGACACAAAGACTTGCTCATATATTTCTTTCTTGAGGTTATACAGGCTTTACATTTAGGTCTGTAATCAATTTTAAAAGCTGATTTTAAAAATTCGGGTATAAAAAAGATGGTATGAACAGGGCTGAAATAAATTTTATTGCATTTAGGTGGCCAACAGTTCCAATCTTTTTAGCTGAAACTATCCTTTCCCTGTTGAATTGCCTTGAAACTTTTGATTAAAAAACTAATTAAAAATTAAATTAATGGGTGTTATCGACGTGGCTCCGTTGGTCAAGCATCCGACTTTGGTTCACGTCATGATCTCATGGCTCAGATTCTCTGCTGTTGGTGCAGAAACCGCTTCAGATCCTCTGTCTCCTCTCTCTGCCCCTCCCCCATGCTTTCTCTCTCTCAAAAATAAATAAACATTTTTTAAAAAGTAAATAATTAATATGTGTAAGGGTCTGTTTCTGAACTCTTATTCTGCCTATTGATGTATATGTGACCAATCTTACCCCAATACCACACTCACTTGATTATATGTAGCTCTTAGTAAATCTTGAAATCAGACAGCGTGAGTCCTCCAACTTCTTCTTTTTGAAAGGTGTTTTGGCTATTTTAGGTCCTTTGCACTTCCATATAAATTCTAAACTTATCTTACTGATTTCTTTAAAAAAAAAAATGCCTGCTGGGATTTTGGTTGGCTTGGTGTTGACTCCATAGATCAATTTGGAAAGAACGGACATCTTTGTAATAATCAGTCTTCCGTTCCGTGGACACAGCGCATCTCTTCGTTTTAGATTTTATCTCATCAATACACAAAATCTTGTATGTATTTTGTTACATTTATCCCTAAGGTGTTTAATGTTTTTGATGTGATTATAAATAGTGCTTTTAAAAAATTTCAATTTCTAATTCTTATTAGTTAGAAATATAGCTGAGTTTTGTTTAGTGATCTTGCATCATATCCTATGAACTTGCTACATTCACTTATTAGTTTTTAGTAGTATTTTTGTATATTCCTTGGGATTTTCTACATATATGATGTCTATTAACGGTTTTCCTCTCCCTACTATCTATGTATATGCATATACATGCTTTTTTTTAAGTAAAACATCTCATGAGTTCATACTAATAATTCAAATTCAAATTCAAGTCTACAAAGTTTTTATCATTTGTC